AGTATTCCATTGTGTATATGTACCATAGTTTGGTTATCCGTTCTTCAGTTGCTGGACACCTCGGTTGTTTCCATCTTTTGGCTATTGTAAATAGTGCTGTGATGAACATGGTTGTGCATATGTCTGATCTTGTCCTGCTCTCACTTCTTTAGGATATATACCTAGTAATGGAATGGCTGGGTAAAATGGTATTTCTAATTCCAGTTTTTTAAGGAATTGCCATACTGCTTTCCACAGTGGTTGTACCATTTGACAGTCCCACCAGCAGTATATGAGAATCCCAATCTCTCCGCATCCTCACCAGCATTTGTTATTTTCTGTCTTGTTCAACTTTGCTAGTAGTGCTGGGGCCAGATGGTATCTCATTGTTTTGATTTGCATCTCTCTAATGGGTAATGATCATGAGCATTTCTTCATATGTTTGTTGGCTGCCTGAATATCCTCTTTGGTGAAGTGTCTATTCATGTCTTCTGCCCATTTTTCTCTTGGATTATTCGTCTTTTTGTTGTTGAGGCATTGAAGTTTTCTATAAATTCTAGAGATAAGACCCTTGTGAGATATGTCATTAACGAGTATATTTTCCCAATCTGTAGTTTCTATTTTTACTCTTTTGGAGAAGCCTTTGGAAGCACATAAAAATTTATTTTTTAGGAGGTCCCATTCATCTAGTTTCTCTTCTGCTGTTTGAGCATTTTGGGTTATGCTTGATAGTCTTATTTATGCCATATATTGTTGTTGTTATATGCCGTCGAGTCCAACTTGAGTCATAGCGACCCCTCCTTGGGTTTCCGATGCAGTATCACTATGGAAGTAGATTGCTCAATCTTTCTGCCGAGGAGTGGCTGATGGGTTTGACCCACCAGACTTCTGGTTAGCAGTCAAGTGCCTTAGGCACTACACTACCAGAACTCCTATACCATATATTAGGGCCCCTAAATTTGGCCCTAGTTTTTCCTTGAGGAACTCTATTATAGTTTTAGGTTTCACATTTAAGTCTTTGATCCATCTGGAGTTAGTTTTTTGTGTATGGTATGAGGTACAGATCATGTTTCATTTTTCTGCAAATGGATATCCAGTTTTGCCAGCACCGTTTATTAAACAAACATTCTCTTCCCCATTTAATGGATTTTGGCCCTTTGTCAAAGATC